GGTGGGCGTGAAGCCCAGCCACTTCGGGAACCGGCTTGGGAGAGGCATTCTTGCTCTATAGTTTCATGCCGCTCAGCCCCTCCCCGCAACCTCGAGACCCGGGCCCCCGCCGGTGCAGCCAGGAAGGCGTCCCAGGCACCTTCAGGTGTAGAGATTGGAGGCAGATTCCTGGGAAAGCGTCTCGGAACCTTTACAGGTGCCAAAGGTGCCTTTGCTGGGGCGTACGGACGAGCCATTCTGAGCGTTTTGGTTTAGAAGTCCGGGCTCACTTCTATGATGGACACTGCCGCTAACTCTGTGACCTCATTCCAGAGCCTCCCTTCTCGGTCTTCTAAAACAGGACAGTTGGGCAGATCCGGTGCAGTCCTCGATGGGGGGGAGGGCAGCTGGAGGTGACCGGCTCCCACTCGGGTGGGTGGAGCTGGGAGGGGCTTGGAGGGGCCCTTAAACTCTAGATCTGAATGCTGCTTGCTTTCCCTAGGAAGTGACCTCTGCAAAGACATGCCATCCATGGGAGGAACTGGGAATTCTGGCCCTGGGCCCGCCCAGGATCACGGATCTGCCACACCCAAGACTGAGGGTGTAGTGTGCAAAGTTTCCCGGGGAGGCAGGGAGGTGAGGAGCCAGGGCCCCGCCTTACCCACTTCCCATTTCCACAGGGAGGACCTAGCCTGACCCCCTTCTTACTGCTTTCTTTGTTCATTACTGGGCCAATTATTTAACTTCTCTGTGCCTCAGTTTACTTCTCTGTAAGATGGGGTCAGTAACAGTACCGACCCTTTACAGTTGTTTTGGGATTAAGAGCGTGGAGGGGGTTTAGCACATTGGCCTCTAGGGCACACCCTTGCTAGTTACTGTTGTTATTATTACTGCTGTTATTGTTTGTTAGCTGCAACCCCTCCACTTGTCCTCCAGCTGTGTAACCCGGCCTCCTCATCTGTAAATTGGGGGTAATAACATCTATCTCATAAGGCCATATGTGAATTGAATGATTTCTCTTTAAGCAGCTCCCCACAGACTGTTAATGTAGCAGGTCGAACAGTGCCTGGTACCTCCCAAGTGCAATATGAATATTGGCTTGTTGCTAAAAACATCGCTTTATTTTAGAGGCTCGGCTGGGTTGCAGAGGGTCTCAGATTGCGTCTGCATTCATTTGTCACTGGGTGCAAGAATCCCCTCAACCATATTCGTAGCGGTCCCGCGAGGGAGAGCGTGGCACCGCTGGCGGCAGTCCTCGGACAGGCAGAAGCCTACGAGCTGGAATTGCAATCTGCCTCCCTGCAATGTGGACCTTTTTAAAAGTGATTTTAAAAGTTTATTGATCTCTCTTATGAGAGAGACAGCAAGCCCACCAGAGTGCTGATGCCACAGCCCACCCCCAGCTTCAGCCAGCCGCCGATCATGGGCACCTGTGTGCCCAGTGTATTCAGGGAGATCCCCGGAGCCTTCCCGTGTGGGTCAACCTTGCATGGAGTCATATTTTACCACTGTCTGGCCCCCGACGTCTACCTTTGGAGGCCCTGTTCTCCCCTCTGGAGCCTGAGGCCCCTGACTCTCAAATCCTGGAGGGCAGTGCTTGGGGTGCCCCAGTGTCCCTGCTCCCAGGCTGCACACCCATCTGTGCCCAATGATGATGAGAGTTGCTGGCACCCCCACTCCCCACACACACACCCATGGCGAGCAGGGAAGTCGTGTTCTCCTCAGTTTGATGATGTCTGCTTACAGTTTAATTTGAGAACCAATTCCACTCTTGCCAAGACTGGGAAAGACAGTGTGGTGGGAGCTGCAGGTGGAGCTTGGGCCCCTGATCCTCAGGCATCACGTGATGTGCTACAGAGGTCCTGTAGAAGCCTTGAGAGGAGCCCCTCCGCCACGCCAAGCTCTGAGATGGGTGCTGTGCAAAGACGGGGTGGGCCACCCAGAGCAGGGCCAGGCATGGACTCAGCCCTGAGCTAGCTGGTCAGCTGTGCCCCCTGACTGGGCTTCCTTATTTTCAGGGCTAAAGCTCCCAGGTGGTCCTGGTTGGCACTCAGCTGGGAGACCCAGGAGAGCCCAGGGTTACCTCGCTGGCTCAGCCTGTCCTCTGGGCCCCAAGAAGCCTTAATACCACCTCTCAGAGGTGGCATGAAGTAGAGGGGGGTAGGGCCACAGGGTCTGCTTGGAAGAAGGGGATCTTAGTGCATTAACTGCTGAGGCCTCCTTGCCCACCCCTACTCCATGCCTCCCTACCCTGGGCCCATGTCCCTGTGCCATAGAGCACCTGCATTTTAACCAGACAATCCAGAAATCAAAAGCAGAAACCCACCAGGAGATGGTCTCTGCAGGAAGCAGAGGGAGGCAGAGGGCTATCTGAGGGCACACCAGGCCCCTCCCATGCTTTCTGGCCTCCCTGGACCTCCATTCTGCAGGCAGAGTCTGCCGTGGCCACAGAGCCTCCCGGCCACAGGCCAAAGCAGAGAGCAGGAAAGACCAAGTGACAGATGACCATGTGTTCTGTCTCTCCAACCCCGTTGCAGTTTCCAAGTGTCTTAGCGAGATTCCTCCCAGAGTGAGTCATCCCCTCGGGTCTACCACCTGGGCAGGGGCAGGGGCAGTGGCAGTGGCAGTGGGAGGGCAGGCAGGGATGATGGAACTGAGCACGGCTGGGAGGCGGGCAAGAGTAGGCAGCGCTGGAGATGGGGGCAGAGTCCACCCTGCAGGACCCACAGGAGCTGCTGTGCACTTTCAGATAATGGAACCAGAGGGAACAGGAAGGCAAATTTTGGCCAGGGAGAGATTGACCGATAAAAGGTAGCGAGGGAACGAAAGGGCTACCCACAGAACCCCATCCTTGGGGCCCAGGTCCCTCTCGGTGCTTAGGGGGACCTGTGTGCCCAGAGAGAGCTCCATCATGGAGGCAGTGACCCAAAAGCCCCCTAACTTCCTGTTTGCCCCCAGCTGCCTGCCCATCGACAGGCATGAGGGGCCATGAGTCATCACTCTGCTGGCCGAGCCTGGAACTTTCCAACCGTACGCTTATCCCACACCTGCCAGAACCAGAGAGTCAAACTGTCCCTGCCCCCCAGGAGTGTCTGAAATGTGGACCTTCTCCCTAAGGTTGGAGTTCCAGATGAAAAGGACAACTTTAATGAGCTCTCACCCACCCTTCACATGTGCCCTTCTAGGGGCTGTTCCCTGCCGACACGCAGAGGCAGCTGCAGCAGCCATGGCGTAGGACCCTCGGGCTGGGCGGAGAAAGCAGCGTGTCCCCTGTGGGCGCCTCCTCTTAGGTAAAAGGCCCCTCGAGGAAGCCTCGTGCCCCAGTCCTGCTCACCTTTTCTGTCCTCCCCACCGCACAGGACGTTCTGCCCGAAGCTTCACACCTTTGCTCCTGGCTGGAATGCCATCTCTCTACTCCTGCCTTGTTTAAAGGCCCACCTCTTCCTTGAAGCCTTCCATCCATACCACATACAGGGATTCTTCTGAATACTCACACCCCTTTCACATGGACCACTCGTTTGTCTTCCAATTCTAGAGAAGCCACAACCTCTTTAATACCGTCAGGTTATGCACTTCCAAAGAAAGGGGTCTGGGCTTTTAGTTCCACATCCATATCGTGCCCTGTGCTCAGCTGGTACTCCGTAAATACGTGAGGCTGATGATATATTGAACAGACCTTGAAAAATCACCCCCAGCCTTCTCTCTTGTGTTCCAAAATTTAGAAGCAGCCCAGACCACGGGGTGGGAGGGGGAAGCCTAGGAGAAGGAGGCCCAGGACTGGGGGTGAGGAGCCCACCTCCCCTCTGCAGCAGGTGGCAATCCCCCCTCCAAGGCCACCACACCCCCTGCCCCTGTCTGCAAGGGAACCCCTGGCTGCCCAGGGAACTCAGTGGGGACTCCGCTTAGGCCCAGCCCCTTCACTTTCTCCCCAGCTGTGCTCCTAGTACTTCTCAGGGACAGGACAGGAGAGGGACGGGCTCCGATCCCGAGTGGGTACTGCATTCCAGCCAGAGAGCGGATGTTAGTGGAATATGTAGACTCTGGGGGCACCCGGCTGCACCAAAAGATCCCAAGTGCAGGTCTGTAGCCCCCTGGGAGACTAGGAAAATAAGGCAGTTGTGAGTGTGAGTGTGTGTGTGTGTGTGTGTGGGAGCAAGTGCGTGTGTATCGGCCAAGGTCGCCACACTCCCAGCCTGGGCTTCTGCTCCTTAGTCCAAGGTGACGTCTTTGTGTGGTATTAAGCCTCCTTTCTTTTATGACATGAGTGGGTAAGTCGATGGCGGTAGTTCATTTTCAATGTCTGGCAAATGCAAGGACACTGGGTGGGAGTCCGAGCAACGCCCAGGCTGCTCCGGGGGAGTGTACTTGCTCTGCTCACCCCGGCCTCTGTCCTCCTTGTTGCAAGCCCGGCCGTGGGCTGGTTGCTCTCACTGATAGTACTTTACTGATTTGGACGATGCTTTGGGACCTGCATGTCACAGGACACCAGCAGGGCTGGACGATGTCTCCAGGGTCCCCTCTACTCTGGTATTCTGGGATTTTACTCTAGGAAGCAAGTTCCTCCTTCTCTCTAGACCTCAGTTTCCCTGTCTGAGAAATGAGCTCTGTGGTCCCTCAGGTCCCTGCATGGGCTGACGGTCAGTGATTCCTGAAATTACTGGCCAATGGGCAGCAGGGGCTGGTATCCCAGAGCAGTGGTTGAATTCAGGGGATTGAGGTGCCTGTCGGAGCAGTGGCAGCCCTTCTTCCCTCTGCAGCTAGAGGAGCAGCCTCTGGAACCATCTAGAACATGCAGGTACACTTTCATAAGAAACAAAGACCCAGGAAGGAGACCATGTGCCTGACAAATGCTTGGAAGGAAATCGTTTTCACGGCAGA